CGACTCAAACCCCTATGACTCTCAACCCTAAAGATCCCTAAGCCTTTAAGCTTTACCCTGATTTTTGTGGGGATGCACTTCAACCCTAACCGCCCTAACCGCCCTAACCCCTGGACCTAAACCCTAAAGATCCCTAAGCCTTTGTCACAAGTGACTCCCTTTTCGCTTTACGGGTTCCTGATCCTATAGTCCTATACCCTCACAACGCAGCTGCTCCTGATGTTGGGGCGACGGTTAGAGTGTTAAAGCTTTTGTGTGCATGGAGTGTCCCACATAACCCCGCGTAAATCCCCCAATATATTCAATAAGCATATCGCCAATTAGATAATATGAGGTTGATAATGGGATAGTGTAGGGTTAATGGTGGGTTGTACCATAAAGTCTAGGGCAGCTACCTCAGCCTTGCAAATCACCACCGGATCACCGAACAATCGCCCAAAAATCAACCAAAAATCAACCAAAAATCACCAAAAAATCACCAAAAAATCACCCAATAATCGCTTAACAATCACCTAAAAATCTAGATGCATTACTCATGGTGCTGATTTCTAGTAGATTTTTTGGTGATCTAGCAAGGCTACATGTGTACTCCCGTGGGTGATTTTTTGGTGATTATTTCGTGACTCCATCTAGCCATGGTGATTATTTCGTGATTCAGTCTAGCCACCGCAGCTAGGCAAGCCCCGGCAACATGAGCCCTGCTTAGAGGTTCATGAACTTAGATTTTTATAAACTATGTATAGCTGAGCTTGCAATTCTACTTACATGTCTGACAACCCGCATAAGTCCGGCTATTTAGGTCAGGAGTACGACGTACGAGCTACGCCAACTTATGAGTAGGTATTGAATGTCGTGAACCTCCAAATATCCCATGTCCGAATACCCTCACCAGCAAGTCATCTTTCGCCGACTATCGCAAGGAACTTCTTCGTTGCTTGCTAGCTACTTCAAGGTGCAGAATCCACACTTTGAATAGCACCCAGCCGGCCATTCTTTAACCCCGAACACCAATCCCCCAAACCCCGTATCCCAAAATCCACGGAATCTGAAAACTTATGCACCTGACTATGGGTGCTGCCCCCACCCTGTAGCAGTCTATATTAAGGTTATTAGGGGTCACAGTAAGGCTCAGGGCCATGTATAACTACATGATAAATAACATCCAAATGTTACGGAGTGGGGACAGCAGCCAACCTGTACTCTACTTCTCGTCGTTGCGTATCCAGCTACGCTCAGAAGGAAAGCCCAAAATGTCCCGAAGTCCTGAACCCAAGTCCAAATAGCCCAACCTAGCAGCTAGGCCCAAACCCCTGGCAGGATGTAATCTAGAAAGTCGAGGCCCGAGCATGGTGCCCTGTACAATGCCTACACTTCAATACCACTAGACTACTGTTGATGGAGGAAATCTTGCGCTGGTTAAAGCCCCTAAACTATGGTAAACCCTAGGACCCTAGGACTTGGCGCAAGGTCTCATCCATTAACAATGTTACTTACGGGTGATTGCTACGATCCCTTCACGCCGATCTATCCGACATGCCTCTAGGTGTTTGGAGCTTGGAGTTAATAGTCTAATTTACAAAATAGTGGGCGGTCTCTCTTCGTGGGAAGCAGAGAAGCTACAAAAGCAAATATGAAGACACCCCACCTATCCCCTGAATCGCAACATAAATCGCTCCTCTGCTTGAGGAGGCATGGTGATCTCCGAGTGGGCCAAGATGCAGTCCTGCAATGGTCGTGGGCCGAAGTGCGACTGTCCCTCCAGGATGTCCTGCGCTGGCAGACAGAGAAGGCTCGGGCTGAGGAATACAAACATTGGGGAACATGCAGCAGTGGTCACAACAACAAACGTACTGCATCTATTGGAAGTGCATTGGATGCTACAAGAATGATTTGTAGGGACGGCTACCAGTTGTCCCCCCAGTAGCTTTAATTTAGGTCCTTTAGGTAATCTCTTTTTTGCAAACTGTTCGTTGTGTATGAGGACAGAGAATAAAGCATTGGGCGGACTGCAATTAATGTATGCACTACATGTACGCGAAAACGTTTCAAGCAAGGTAATTAGAAACAATAAGTTGGTCTGCTGCACAGGCTTCAGGGGGATGGTATTTGGAAGGAAATGCGCCAAGGCGCGGAAGCTCAGAAGCTAGCTGAAGCATCACTACTCCGAAAGTCGTTGAGGCTGAATAGATTTGATGCGACATTCTGAAGCGCGTCCTTCACCAGAGAAGAGAACCGCTCAGCATCTCCTCGCGTGTACTGGTCCTTCCTCAAGAAGATGAGGTATATCCTGCCAAGCTCTCGTGAGTGGACGTGACAGCCTAGCTTCTCTGATTGGGCAGCTGGGCACTTCTTGACTGCAAGCTTTTTTACACAAACACAAGAGTCACAAGAGTCACAGGATCTTCTAGTGGGAGATCCGACGCACTACCTGATGCTGGGAGGCTCGTCAGGTTCCTCCGCCTCTTTGGCACGTTCGCAATCAGTGGAAAATTCTGGGGCCCCTGTAACATTCAGGAAATCTCTGCGCGCTGACTGTCGCGTGGCCAAGTTGGCCACACGCGCTTTCATGTGCTGTTCCCTGGTTCGAAACTCATCTGCGCTGCACAACCATGCGTACAACGCTCCAAGTGGGCGGCCCTGTCCACGGTGGGCAGCAGACAGCCCCTGAGAAGCCCTTGATGTTCGTTGTCTGTGGCAGTATTCGTGTTTGCGGCAGTACGCCATGAAATACTTGCCGCTGATGTTGTATCGGAGTTCACCTGTTGGGGTGGGAAACGATACCTCTGGCACAGGAATTGCTCGCTCTTCTGCCCCCCGTAGATGTTCCACGAACTGCTCAGCTTGCTCTTGCAAGTCATCGCCACGCGCGCCTTCTGCGGGCTCAGCAGGCACCTCGTCAACTTCTTGCAACTTCTCGAGTTGCTGAAGAACCTGATCCACGATCTCGTCCTCGTTTTCATCGCACGGCTCCTGCACGAAGTCCTCCTCCCCCTCCTGCTCCTCATCCTCATCGTCTTCCACCTCCCCGTCCTCCTGGTACTCATCGTCCTCCGCTCGCTCACCTGACTGGGGCATTACTACTATCCGAAGATCTGAAAGATAGACACTGTCACTATGGTACTATAGCTTAGGTACTGCCCGCACCCTGTAACAGTCCCCATCATTTCGGGTCATACTAACGGCTGCATATGAATATCACATTTAAAAAGTTCAGCTGTTACAGCGTGGGGGGCGGCGTTCAGCTGAAGAGCTGAAACGCAGCCTAGGGCCTAGGGCCTAGGATCTTCGCGGGGTCAAAACAACATACTTCCCTTCGAGAGGTATGAAGAAAGAAGCAAGAGAGAGAGAGAGAGAGAGAGCAGATTTGATTCGACTTCATGTTTTACAAACAAATACTGTTAGCTGGGACTTCGATTTGCGAAAGATGGTCATGTTCAAGCATCATGGAAGGCCACTTGACTCAAGCGACAACATGTTTTTGGCTTGGTGCGCCTTGTTGCGCCGCGCGCGGTCTCTGCCGCCGGCTTCTTGATCGAGCTGAGTTCTCTGCAGAGGATCCGGCCCACACAACACATGGCTCACGGCACTCCTCCATGGGCGCTGCGTAAACAATGCCTGGTATCAACTCCCTTGCAAAGGCTTGGCGCGGCTCCAGCAGCCTCAAGAAGCTGGCATTGTAGACCAGCTCAAAGTCCACGATTTCTCGGAGGGCCTCTCCCAAGGCACAGGCACAATCAACGGACAAGCTAATATCCAAAGTATGAAATCGTGTGGTTTAGATTAAGTTTAGGGTTTAGGGTTGCTCAGGCTTGTTTGAGGCGTGGAGCCTCATTCATGGTGCGAACACCGTCCCCCAGCAATTCCAGAACATCTGCTGCGTCGTGCTCGACCGAAAGAAGATCTGCAACGTCTTCAGCAGTCAGATCGGAAACCTGCAACTGGACCGCACCGGGCACGTGCTCACACTCGTCCTCAGGACACCTCAGCAACTGAAGCGTCGACGCCTGCCAGGTCTTGAAGTTTGTGAAGCCAACGTGCAAGTACTCCTCAGATTTGAAGACTGCGCCCTGTTGTCGCCCAGCTGCTTTTCTGGATTCAGCTTCATCCACCTGCAGCTTCAGCACAACGCGATTCTCTTCCAGCCATTGCCGCGGCTTGGAAACTTGCCGCTGGCTTCCTTGGCCCTTGCTCCACATGTGTGTCTTCATCATCTGCGCAATGCGCTGCGCCATCCAAACCGAGAAATGATTTTTTGTTGGAGGGCTCGAGCAAACGCAGTAGCCCTGTCGAAAGCATTGCGTCTCAGAGTGCAGCTGCTTGACCAAAGCTGGCTGTAGCCGGATTCTCGGCTGCTCTGCGTCTCGTATGAGGCTACATCGGGAGGCCCACTCATTCGTCAAACGGGTTCGCAAGCCCAATGCCCGCGCTGATGAGTTGTTCTTGCTGAGGGCCGCCTAACAGAGGCTCAACTAACGAATGTAACCTTCTAGGTTTCACCATGCACAATGTTGCAAGCGCCCCGAAAAACCTTATGGACGACTACTCTTCAATCTATTCTTACTCTAATAACTTACTTACTTACTATAGTTATTATGATTCACCATTATCAGTAACATGTATCCCTTCCCCAGTCCCCGGCCCCTCAACTACCAGTACATCTTCCCAACACTACAACTTTGGTAGAAGTCGCGCTGTTGAGTGCACAGGGACCAATGGGGCAGTGTACACCCGTAGACCATCCCAAACCTTGGCGAGCTCCGTGCATGGAGGGAACCAGCGCAGCTGGCAGGCAATCTCGCCACCCACTGCGGCACTATTGCTCAAGCGCGCTGTTGGCTGGCCGGGAAAGATTTCCTTGGCGAAGCGAAGAAACAAAACAAACAAAGCCTATACTGCCTTACGCAAATGCGGAAAAAAGTGCTTGAACGCCGGCCAGGCACCACCCTATCCTATCATAAGCCCCATTCCCTAACCACCCCCGGCGCTTATTACAACAAATGCTACGCCACTTCCGTCTTGGTCTTAGTTGGGAGGGGATTGCGGATATAGGGTGTTGACCGAGTCACGGGGAAAGACTGCACAGCTGATTCTCGCGCCCGCGCAAGCGCATCTCTTTCGGATCGCTCGGCAGACAATTCTTTTCTGCGCTGAAGGCCAGCTTCCTGACGAATGCTGTGGATTTGAAGCGAGAGATCGTGCAACTCTGCAATCTCAAGGTCATGTCCCGCGCCCCCAGCCGGGACATCCCTCAGCATCCTCGACCTGTCCCCTCGCTGGCGTTCCCTGTCGCCGAAACTAGCAAATCCACTGCGCCACGCAAGGTTTGCGAACACGCCAAGCCTTTGAAACCGTTGCATCTCCGCAAAAGGCAGATTCTTGTACTCCGAGGAAAGCTCCTTTGCAAAGCCGATTGAAAGCTTTTGCCCTTTGCAGCGCTCATGCACAAACGCGCGCCACGCCCCGCCTCCTCCTCCTCTGGCCCCGGGCTGTTTGCCTGCTCCTTTGCGCCTCTTGGCTGCGTCAGACTCCTCAGCGACGCGTGTAGCATGGCCCTGCGATGGCAGAACTTGCTCCCTCAAAGAAACCTGCCGGTATGTCCAAATGGCTGACACCTCTTGCATGTCCGGGACCCATTGCTGCACTGCAGACATAGTAAGTCTGCGGGAGGCAGCGTGTCTCGCCTCTATGGCGGCGATTTCTAAATCAATGCTCAGCGCAAGAACCTGGGCATCTGAATTTGAAAGCAATGCTAGCCAAGGCCCGTGAACAACTTCTGTTATCAATCAAATCACAAGTCCTTATGGAGACTACATGTACCCCTATACACTTTAGACTCTAGACTCACCTGGCCTGCATGTGCACTGATGCATCTGCATTGAATTCAGGAAACCAGGCTTTGAACTGCGCGGTGAGCTCGTCATGCAAGCAGCTCGGGTCATTGGGGTAGCAGTTCTCCGTCATGGCCGTGAATAGTTTGTAAGGGTAGGACCTGCGAGCACGTCGCAGCAACTGATGCATGGCGCAGACAGCCCGTGAGACCATTCTGAAGAGCAGTACCAGGATCTGTGAGTTCAGCTGCTCGCGTGCAAGGCCCCGGGGAGGCTGCAATAACAGGCGGAACATTCCAGCGAAAAAATCCTTCAGGTCGTGCAGAGACGCGGCTTCAAGAATGCGGTAGCTGCGAGCCTGTCCCCGAGATGCCTTCAACTCTTGCTCAGCTTCCCACTCCGAGCTGCCGATCTGCAGGCATCGATGGATGAGGCTTGCTGTAACCGCCATGCAACTTTTCAAAATCACCAGGCGGCTGGCGGGATTGGACAAGGACCATGTTGCGGCATTTCGCCGAAAGGCTTTGTTTCTGGCCACCCAGCTTGTGGCATCGGCTTCCTCAGCATTGTCGGCTTCCTCAGCCTCACGCTGGATTTCCTCTGCTGGTTCTGGGGGCATATCCTCCAAGAAAACTGCGCAGTCCGGGTCCATGGCAGCTTGGCTGGATGTTGCGGCTGACTGCCCACGCCAACGCTGAAGCAACTTTGGCAACAAGTTGTGATGCGTCATCAATAGTGCATTCCACTCCACTGCTTGCTCTTGATGGAGCCAGCGGTTCCGCGCAAAACGCGGGGCTTTGGAGGGCAAGAGGGCCCATGCTACAAGTCGCATTTTCGCCTGTGTCTGCTCAACTGAGGCGCAGCAATTAAATCCACAATAATGCGTCACTGTGTCACTGTTCAGATCGCCATTGAGCATTGTGGCAAGTACATGCCGTCTGCACAACGTGGTTCGCAATGAACGGCCAGGTGCCTGCTGAAGAGGAAGCAGGAGGTCGTGCAACTCTGTACGAAGTCGCACGAAATCCCGAGGAGGACCTTCGTAACAAATCTGCAATGAATCAAGTAGCAACTCCGTTAGCATGGCTTGCAGGGACTGCAACGCACCCGAGCCCTGCTGCGACATTGCGACGCTGAGCATGCCAGAGATGTCTGCCGACAAGAGGTCATTCATGCTGCAAGAGCACTGCGACATAATGTGAGCCTCGCATTTCTGCACATGTTTGCTTGTCTTGGGTTCTCCTTCCTCCAATTCGCGATGCTGCAGAACGCGCTCCGCCTTCAAATTTGAACTGTGCCTGTCCACAACCTCAGATTCGCAAGGCAAACGCTACTTTCCAGAGGTACAGAATCGTGCTCCCTACCTACACCCTCCAATGTAGTTCTTTTTTGGGTTTGGTTTGGTATGGTTAGGACTCTTATTAGGACTACCAGTGACTACCAAAAAGGTACTACATTGGAGGGTCTAGGTAGGTTCCTAGCCCGGGTACATACCTATACTTGTAAATCTCATAGCTATAGGTTTGTTATAGGACCTACAAGTATGCTTGTCCCCATTATCAACTACTTATATAGCTCTAACTATAACGCAGCTTCGAACTTAGGGGCCTCACATTGTAAGTAAGGCACATCCAATCTTTGACGGGTGATAGGGAACACCGGCAGACCGGCTACGGTAGAGCATTGTTACACCAAGTCTCTGAGAGTCCATGGAACAAAGGAGAAGCAGAAGCAGCAGCAGCAAGAAGAAGAAGAACGGACGCAGGATACAAAGGAAAGAAAGGAGAAGGGCTACACTGTACACTGTACACGGCTACACGCCTACACTACACCATTTTATGATTAAACCAGGTCGAGACACTGCCACGCGCAAGCGGCGTGGGAAACAAGACTTCAGACGCACGAAATCGGGCACCGTGTTGTGAACATTATTGATGCTCTTCACTAAGCACTCGGCCGTCATTCTGTCGCAAGTCTGGAGACAAGCTGGCACTTGCCCAGCTATTAGTAGATGCCGCCCCGATGATGTCTCTCGCACCAGCAGGTAGATCTCATGCTCGTACTGGAGAATTTTGCCTTGAAGGGCGACTTCTTGACCACTCTTTGCCACTTGCCCCTGTGCTGTCAGCCTGACCCGAAGCGGCGTTTCGTCGTAGCGCAGCTTCTGAATCAGGAAAACGCATTCCCACTCCGGCTTATCGCAGACTGCCTGCAGCAATCCAGACCACATCACACCACCAGCAAGGACAGCAGCAGATGCTCCAGATATGGTTACACGCCCCACATGGGCTATGTCCTGAAGTCCTGCTTTTCGTAGGGCCGCATTCACAGCGGCGTTGGACATAAGTGCTTCGCTCTTGAATCCGAGAACATGCGCACACTCAGAATTGTCACGGGCTTCTGGGCCCTCATGCTGATAGGAATGCTGCGCCGCTGTCACCAGCGCAAGCTGCGCAGGCGAACCCAAATCTTTCAAACACGCCCACACACTGGAGGCTGGCGATAGAAATTCCTCTGTTGACTGCTGCACGCTATTTTGCTCGCCCTGCAAGGGCCTCTTCAAGTGCGCGCGAGCATACTCAATAGATCCAGGCTGAGGGCCTTGAGACGCCAAAGTCTGGGCCCGTTGAAGCTGGGATTCCTTTGCTTTTCTTCGCAGAGCTGCGCTTGCAAAGCTTCCCTTGGGGCGCCCTCTCCCTCTCTTGTGCTGGCCAGTCATGAGCTGAACAGACTTGCCTTCGTCATCGCTGCCAAACTCTCCAGAATCATGCCCCGACTCCAGAAAACAATTATCATCTATCCGTCCCCACTTTTCTGCACGGGCCACAGATGGCGCTGATGAATCGGCGTTAATCTCGTCAGCCCAGTCATCCCAAGAGGAATGGAAAGCAGATCCTGATGCCATCCCACGATCTGCAAAGGAGCAGGCCAGAACAAACGCCACTGATATCAAGACCAGCCGGCAACTTGTGTCGCCACACCGCATGCCCCCCTATGTTTGCGCTACACTACTACGACCTGTTTGCCTGGGCAACATATTCAGAGAGGTGCACTCAGACCCTATACTGGCATGTTATTTCACGGATTTGGAAGACTTGACCACCATAAGACCACCAGTGCTGGATTTAGGAGACCTGAAAGTGGATTGCGTTTACAGCGATAGTTATTCCCCCCAAGCAATAGAATAGAACAACATAAGCTGTAAGATGTAGAAGCCAGCTAATTTTCCATTGTGATGAGGTCTTGCAAGCTGTTGACATCTTCAAGCAGCGGCTGCGACACGGCAGAGGGTTCAGGCAACTGCGTGTAGCAATATAGGCAGCTTCAAGAAGGAGAGCCTTTCTACTTTGTCCCTACTTTTGGATTCAGTTCCCACGATTCTCATACGCATGTCAAGCTTGAGACCTGCCGCTTGATTCCGTGAATGAAATCTCCAGCCCCCAGCTCCAGCGCTTAAATTACAATATTCATTTAGCTTCATAGGGCCTACTCACAAACTCGTTGGAAAAGATTGGGGTATGAAAAACTCCTCAGCCCTAACCCCACCTCAAGTGAATGGCCAACTCTTGGCAAAGGAATAATTGAATAACCCCGAGTGACCTGCACAATGTAGTGATTCTGATAGCGTTGAAAAGCGCCTCGAATTTGTCAGTTTGCTTGGGCCACGGGGTCTTGCAGAGGTGATCAAGTGTATTGAAGTGTATCGAAGGTCTGGGCCCGATTAAGAGTAAAAAGTATGCCTATGTTGTGTTCTCCAAGATCAGGAAGCGAAGCTGGACCAAAAAAACAAGCCTCTGAACACTGCGCAGGACCCTTTGAAACCTTACTTGAGGCCCTGAAGCACATGAGCAAGCAACGCTCCTCGGTCTGGATATGGGGAGCCAGGCTTTCATGTCCATATGCTTTGTCACCATCCAGTAGCCGCCCTTGTCGAGCGTAGTTCGAGTCAACATCTCTTTCAACCTGAAAGCGATATGAGGACGGATCGTATTGAAGGTTAAGGGTTGGGACTTGGGTGACGAGATCAGGGTTTAGAGTCTAGGTCTAGGTGATTAGAGTTTAGGTGTAAGGGTTTATTGATTATTAGCCCGCAACAGCACAACCACTGCTGCCGCTGCCGCCACCGCCGATGTCACCGCCATCGCCACTACCACCAGGGGAGGGTCGGAAGATGGTGTGTGGATATTTTTGGGGGTGGATCCCGGGACGAAGCGAGGGGAGGGTGGCAAGGGTGCGGAGGGGGGGGGAAGGGGAGGGGGGAGACCAATGCGACCGCCACCACCGCCACCACCGACCACCGCCACCACCATCGCCACCAGCACTGCCACCACCATCATTACCATCTGGGCTTTGCTAAGGCCCAGCAGCATGCTCAACAGGAGCAGGCAAGATCAGTTTTGCCTCAATCACTGATGACATGTGAGGACCCCTAAACTCCCTAAACAGTGTATAACTTCTTCTCCATTGCAGTCTCCCCTTAAGCCTTAAGCATGCGAAGCCCTGGAAGTAGTATACACAGCATGATTTTCATGGAAGGTCGGAAGACGGTTACCCTCAGCCCAGCGAAGAAACAGTTGTGTACACCCCCAACGAAGAAACAGGCAATGACTGCTGACTAGAACGCACTGTTGAAGAGTACTTGGCACGCTAAGGCAAGCGACCGCTGTAGTGGCGTCTCTGATGTTTGCGAGTTGAAGGGCATACTGAATCCGGTGACTTGTTCAAAGATTTGCACCTTCGGCTGAAACCTCTTCAGCCAACTTAAGAATTCCCCAAAGGCTATGTCGCATTCGGCATGTGCCTCCACACTGCCAGGCTTGAATCTGGTGCAACGTTGAGTGCTGAAGGCATGACAGGGTGTGCCACATATGCCCAAGTCTGGATCCACTGGACATGGGTCACATGTTCGTGCGAAAGGGTGTCGTAGGCAACTATGCTGTCCGGAACACTGAGACTCCATATCTCTGTACCAGTGTGTTGGAAGCTTGTTCGGAAAATTCGCTTGCAGAAATTTCAAGCACTTGTAGTCAGGGTCGGACGCCGACATGACATTGAAGTTGATGTTCAGTGCCTGCAGGCAGCTGGCTACTAACTCTGCACTTGCATTATAGCAGCCATGAATCCGCAGGAAAGACATGAGTATCATGAACCAGGGTTGATAGAAGCTGCAAGCTCCGCTGATGAGCTCAAACGATTCTCTGTATACAAATGGATAGAGCTTCGGTTTCGTCCCATGGAGTATTGCCACAGTCGGCCCAAAAAGTAAGAACAGTCAGGAACATATGAGCTATTGTCTAAACTCCTAGTTCCCCCTTTAATCACCCCTATGATAATCCCTTGTATTGTATATCCCCCACGAAGGAGTTTAGGCAATAGCTCATATAGTCATGTAGTTGGTCGCAGTACGGTCTCTAGGGCCTAGGGCCACAAAACACCATACCCCACTAGAGCGGAACCCTACCAATCGCCTAATGGTCAGAACAACAGCAGTTCAACCTACTCAGTCCTGTTTGTCCCTCCTACCCAGCCCTACTCCCTACTCACCCTACTCGCTGCCTGCAATGCCCAGGTCTCGGGACTTACACCCGTGCAGCCGCTGATCACGTTCAGTGGACGAGG